ACAGATGAAGCGTAAGGAGGAATTAGGGACAAGTTGTTACTCTATTAGTTTAGCTGGAGTGTGGTGTTCAAACAGTAGCCTGATTTGTTGTTTTCAAAGTTTTTTGACAACATCATGGCTTAAGATTTGAAGGAGCTGGCTGTAACTGTGAATACTGACCTTTTGCCACAGCAATATTAAAATCTCAAAGGGACCTTCTGTTCAGCTCAGTAGGAAAATAGGTTTTAATTAGTCTCTGGTGGGTGTGACTTCATTTCTAATGTTCTTCACCCAGTGTCACATTTTAAGCTCTAAAATTTTTGCTTAACATTTGTTTTACAGTTCCACATCAATGCCAGCTACCCTCGAATATGGAACATGCCACAGACATGGCAGTGTGAATTAGAGGTTTATAAAGCCACCTACCACTTCATCTTTGCACAGAAGAACTTCTTTACAGGTAATTTTCTAATAAATATAAACTCAGTGAGATTTATCACAGGGAACTTACTTCCAACGTAGGGATTTGATGACGTAATTCATACTTCCTTACTTTTACACTTCATTTTGGGCTGAGAATATCAAAGAGAAAATTTAAGTATAGACATTTTGTGTTCTCCAAAACAGTATACTCAAATAGCCAAATATGTTATTTTTGTATTTGGAGCCCCTGTTTACTCTTTTCTGTTGGCATGGATTATTGAGTTGGTGCTATCACTAGTTGGAAAAATTCTTTATTTCTTGCAGCATATTGTGATACCTACTCATATATTATGAGTATAAGAATACGAGTGAGGGCCAGTTGGTTAGCTCAGTGGATTAGAGGGCATTGTTTTAACACCAAGGTCAAGGGTTCAGATCCCCATACCAGCCAGCTGCCCGTCAGTGGTCCCCCACCCCCCAAAAAAAGAATGTGAGGGTAACTTCAAAAAGTTCATGGAAAAATAAAATTAAAAGGTAATACGGATCTTTCCATGAACTTTTTGAAGACCCCATTTATGTAGTCTTTGTCTGTGTATAACACAAATACTACTACATAAAAATAAGTGGTGTTTATTGAGCCTTTGTCTAAAAAGTCTAGCCCCACAGAGTTGGTCTGATTTGTTAGGGTCAGTGGCTACCCCAGTGACTGCTTGTTCCATCCATCCATCCATCCATCCACCCACCCACCCATCCACCCCTCATCCACCCACTTGTGCAACAGTCATTTATAACCATCTAGTCTATGCTGAGTGCTATTAGATATTTGGAGGTACAGTGGTGATTAAAGTATACATAGAATAGGTAGTCCTGTCCTGACATTACTTACTAACAGTATGATGTTGGCTAAGTTATTTCACTGTTTAAGCTTTGTTTCCTATTTGTGAAATAGGGATAACAATTTTTACCCTCATTTTGCTACTGCTGGAGTTTTGGCCTTTTAAAATGCCTTTTACTGCAATTCATTCAATCATATAGTCTTTTATATTTGTTTTCTGGTCTGACTGGGAGCCTTATCTTGGAGATTAGATAGAGTGGTGTGCTTTCCTGGAATTATATACTTCTCCTCCAAGGCTTGAGTCAGTGTCCCTGTAATAGAATTTTTGACAGAGTCCTTGGCAAGTTAAACTTTAGCCAGTGAAACTGAATATTGAATAAACACTTCTCAGTTCATATATATAAAAAAAATAATAGCTAAAATTTATAATGTGTATTATGTGCCTGGCTCTGTCCTAAGCAGTTTGTACATATTAAAACATTGAATCCTCACAGTAACTCTCAGAGATTGGTATTATTATTATCCTTGCTTTGCACTTGAGGAAAATGCGTTACAGAGAAGTGAAGCAGTTTGTTCAGGGTCACACAACTAGTAATTTGGTTGAGCTAGGATTCCAACTCAAGTAGTCTGACTCAAGAATCTGTTGTGTTACTGAGCTTCTTTTGCTATATAGCCTTTTCCCTCTGATTTAACATTTTGTGGTTTGTAACTTTGCTAATCTTTAAACATATGTAGATTGCCACTTTCAAGTATTTAATCCTTCACATTATTTTTCCTCCAGTCTTCACATCTTCAGACTCTAGCAGTGCTAAGAATAGCTGGAGTAGAAGTAGAAATTCTTTTTGATTTAAAAATTTTATTTTGTAGTAGCACTTTTATTTAAACTGAGTATTGTATGAGTATTAGTTACTTTTAAATAGCCAAATAAACATTTCCTAAATTACAATTGACTTTCCCTAAATAAGTTTCTTTCTCTGACTCTAATTTTTTCACTCTACCTATTGAAATTCACTGTTAACAGTTATTTTTTCTAAAATTTATTTTGGAAAAGTTTTTAGAAATACAGAAAGGTACAAAATAAACATAATTGCCATTAAAGTTCTCATCTCCCAGATATAACAGCTGTAACATTTGGACATATTACTTTTTGATTTTTAAAGACTTACAGCATTACAAATAACTCTATAATCCCTTTTAAACCTATTTATTGTCTATAAAGGATGACTGTTAGAGAGCAATACTAGCTTAGGCCTGGAGTGAACATACTTGGTCATAGCGCTTGAATTGCTTTCTCTGTTGGCGGAATTCTGCAAAAAAAGTTATCTATCTGATGTGAGGGAATGCCTAATATTCCTCAACAGCTATTCTTATATCACTTATTTGTATGATAAAATTGTTGTTCAGAGATTTCAATATGGGGCAAAGATAGCTTTACGTAACTATAATATAGAACTTCAGGAGTAAAACCTGTAAAACAAAGTCAGAAACTGAAGCCTCTTCCGGGAATAATGAAATTGACTTAGATTTATTCTGATAAGGAATAGAAGAAAACAATATAACAATATTGCAAAGCTCCAGTGTCAATTGATTAACATTTAACAGGATGTTTGCCTAACAACTTAACTATAAAGTAAGTCATTGGTGGTTTTTTTTCAAACTAATGTTTAGCTTGCCACATTAATAAATTTTTTTTTTTTTCCTTTTTGTCTTTTATCGTGTCCGGCAACGGATCGCAACCCTCAGTGTCGCGCCCGTACCGGACTGGGACCGGCAACGGGATCGCAAACCTTGGTGCTGCGCCCGCACCTCGCTCAGCCAGTGAGCGGGAACCGGTCTGTATGTGGGATCCGAACCCTCGGCGGGAGCGCCACCATGCTCCCAAGCGGCGCACTGTAGCAGTGCGCCACTGGGCCGGCCCCCACATTAATAAATTTTTAATTTGCTGTACAAATAAGTAAGGTAGTCATCAAGAAAGTGCTTCCTTTTTAAAATCAGATTATTTGATAAGACCATCTGGTAATGAGAGCACTTTTTGTTTAGAGAGAAAAGCGTATTAAAATGGTTGTTGAGGCTGCTAATAAAACTTTTTTGTTATAATTTTAAATATTTTTCAGTAAAGATATTGTAGAAGCAGGTAGGGAAGCTATATTACAAAATGATATATTGAAATTTAAAATGTTGTTAAAAAACTAATAAGATTTATTAAAATAGAAGTTGGCTAATAACTTTTGTATTGTTTATTAG